GGAGAAAAAAAATTTCTTTTGTAAACCTATTCAGTGACTTGGTGTCCACTGCTGTCTGGGGTAGAGAATTCCAAAAGTTCACCACTCTCTGAGTGAAGAAATCACTACTTGTCTAAGTCTAAAATGGGCTATCTTATCTTAATATCATGGGACACTGACCCCTTGTTCTGCATCACCGTGACTTAACCAGGGAAACTCTTTTCCTGCAACCACCATGTACTGCATGGTCATAAGTCTATACATGTCAATGAGATCTCCTATTGAAAAAAAGCAAAGACTGACTAAAGTTTAATTAGGAGAAAAAAAGTAGTGTACAAAAGAATAATGGTAGGGGATTTTAATTTTCCAAACATAGATTGGGACCGCCATGGTGTAAAGGGCTTAGATGGGGAGGAATTTGATAAGTGTGTACAAGAAAACTTTCTTATTCAATATGTAGTTGTACCTTCTAGAGGAGAAGCAATACTTGACCTTTTGTTGGGAAATAAGGCAGCACAAGTGACTGCCCTGTCACTGGTGGGAGCGCTTTGGGGTAAGTGATCATAATTCTATTTGTGTTAAAATGGTTATGGAAAAGGATAGAACTGATCAAAAGGTAAAGTTTAAATTAGAGTAAAGCCAGTTTTGACAGTATCAGACAGGAACTTTCAAAAATTGATTGAGGAGGCTGTTCGCGGGTGAAGGGATGGTCGGGAAGTGGAAGGCCTTTAAAAATGAGATAATGAGAGTTCAGAGACAGTATATACCTGTTATTGAAAGGCAAGACTGGTAGGTGTAGGGAAAGCTGGATGACTAGAGAAATTGAGGCTCTGGTCATGAAAAAGAGGGAGGCATGTATCAGGTATAGACAGTGGGATCGAGTGAATCCCTAGAGGAATAAAAGGGTAGTAGGAGTATTCTTAAGAGGGAAATCAGGAGAGCAGAAAGGGTACATGAGATAGCTTGGGCAAATAGAGTTAAGGAGAATCCAAAGAAATTCTATAAGTACATGAAGGCAAAAGAGTAACTAGGGAGAAAATAGGGTCCCTTAAAGATGTGTATGGCCATCTAGAAGTGGTACCACAGGAGATAGGAGAGATACTAAACAAATAGTTCTTATCAATATTTACAGAGGAGGACGACATGGAAGGTAAGGAACTTGGGGAAATAAATAGTGATGTCTTGAAAAGTGTTCATCTTAAAATACATAAAGTTAGATAAATCAACAGGACCTGATCAGCTATTTCCCAGAACTTTCTGGGAGGCTAGAGAAGAGATTGCTGGGTCCTTTGCTGAGATATTTGTATCATCCACAGCCACAGGTGAGGTATCGGAAGACTGGAGATTGGCTAACAAGGTGCCATTATTTTTAAAAGGTTGTAAGGAAAAGCCAGGGATCTACAGACAAGTGAACCTTACATCAGTGGTAGATAAGTTGTTGGAGGGGATTCTGAGGGACAGGATTTACATGTATTTGTAAAGACAAGGACTGATTAGGGATAGTCAACATGGCTTTGTGTGTAGGAAATCGTGTCTCACTAAATTGATTGATATTTTTAAAGAGTCCGATATTTTAGAGAATTTTAAGCGATAGGCACATGGAGGATAGTAAAATGTAGGGTATGCAGGGTAGTTTGATCTTAGTAGGATAATAGGTCGGCACAACATTGTGGACCGAAGGGCCTGTGCTGTGCTATACTGTTCTGTGTTCTATGCTCTAGGTGACAAAGATTGATGAAGGCAGAGTGGTAAACGTGCTCTACATGGGCTTCAGCAAAGTGTTCAACAAGGGTCTGCATGATAAACTGGTTAGTAAGGTTAGATCACATGGGATCCAGGGGAGCTAACCAAATAGATACAAAATTGGCTTGAAGATAAGAGACAGAGGGCGGTGGTGGTGGAAGGTTGCTTTTCAGAATGGGGGCCTGTGACCAATGGTGTGCCACAAGGCTCAGTGCTGGGTTCATTGCTTTTTGTCATTTTGTACAAAATGATTTGGATGTGAACATAGGAGCTTTCATTCGTAAATTTGCAGATGACATCAAAATAGGTGGTGTAGTGGAAAGTGAAGAAAATTATCTCAGAGTACCATGGGACCTTGATCAGAAAGGCCAATTGGCCAAGAGTGGAGATGGAGTTTAATATAGATAACATAAATTAGGTGTTGCATTTTGGTAAGGCAGGACTTAGACAGTTACGGTAGGGCCTTGGGGTGTGTTGCCGAATAAAGTGACCTAAAAGATGCAGGTGCATATTTCCTAGAAAGTGGAGTCCCAGGCAGAGAGGGTGGTTAGGAAGGTGTTGGTATGCTTGCTTTCATTGGTCAGTGCATTGAATACAAGAGTTGGGATGTCAAGTTGTGGCTGTGAAGGACATTGGTGAGGCCACTTTTAGAATACTGTGTATAATTCTGGTCACCCTTCCACAGGAAAGATGATGTTGTTAAACTTGAGAGGGTGCAGAAAAGGATTTACAAGGATATTGCTGGGACTGGTTTGAGTTATAGGGAGAGGCTGAATAGGCTGGGGCCTTTTCCCCCCGCGAAGAATTGGAGGCTGAGGGATGACCTTATAGAGGTTTATAAAATCATGAGGAGCATGGATAGGGTGCTTAGCCAAGGTCTTTTTCCTAGAGTGGGGTGTCCAAAACTAGAGGGCATAGTTTTAAAGATGAGAGGGCAAAGATTTGAAAAGAACCTGAAGGGTCACTTTTTCATGCAGCAGGTAGTGCATATATGGAACCAGCTGCCAGAGGACATGGCGGAGGCAGGTACAAATACAACATGTAAAAGGCACCTGGATGGATATATGAATAGGAAGGGTTTGGAAGAATATGAGTCAAATGCTGGCAAATGGGACTAGGTCAGATTGGGATGTATAGTCAGTGCAGATAAGTTGGACCAAAGGGTTTTTTTCTGTGCTGTATAGCTCTATGACTCCAAGTTAGCTAGAAATATAGAAACAGAGAGTTAGAGTTTCTACAGATATTTTACCAAAAGAGAAAAGTGAAAATTGGTCCTGTAAAACAGGCTGTCTTAGAGCTTTGTCATAGCAAGTTGTTATAAGATGGCAGAGGAAATTCTTCAAGGACAACTTTAATGCATCCCTGAAAAACTGTGGCTTCCCCAACAATTCATGGGAATCTCTTGCCCAAGACAGCACAATCTGGAAAAGAAGCATCCATGAAAGTTCCAACCATTTCTAGCATCTCCAACAGCTAGAGACCCATATGCAAACAGCAGAAGGAACATGTAAAAGTTTGAGAATCCTATTTACTCACCCCAACAAACACCACCTACCCCACTTATGCTAGTATATGTAAATTGCAGATCCAGCATTGGACTGTTTAATTGTCTTAGGATCTACAATTCTGGAGCTGAAGAAGGTAACCTTCAGTCCTTTGCGACTACCTTAGAAGAAGAAGAGCACCTATGGAAAGTGAGTTTTGGGAATTAATGATGAAAAATAAAGAGATGGCAGATGAATCAAATAGGTATGTCGCATCAATCTTCACTATTAAATATAGAAGTAACATTCCGGAAGCAGCTAAAAATCAGGAAAAGAAGGAAAGGAAGAACTAAAATAAAGGAGTTGCCTTTTTAAGATAGAGATGAGTGTTATTTCCTCACAGACTGTGGTGACTCTCTGAAACTCCCTTCCTCAAAAGGCAGTGAAAGCAATGTCAAATCAAATTTATTTGCTTGCATGAATAAGCCATCGTTTTGTTTTTAAACCCTAAAGAGAGTTTGTTGTGGGTTATTTACAAATTGGTGTTCACAAACAGAGGATGTGATGGAACACATTTTGAAAGAGAAAAATAAAAATAAAAATTACTTTTGTTCCAGACAGAAGAGGAAAATTGTAAAATCTTTAAATTCACCTCATGCTCTTTTCCGTAACAGTCCCTTTACCTTCCCACTTTGCAGGCAGGCCCTCCTTTCCCTGACCATTAACCTAATCAAAATGACCCTATGCTAAGGGATGTGATTACATCTTGGAATAAAGACTCCAGGTAATATTTCCTCTCCCTAATGTGTCAGTGATTGTAGAGCTGAAGATAGTGGAACTGCAGCTCAAACTGTAAATGAGTTTGCCCTGGATCACAATAGTTTCACAGTGCTCTCACATTCCGCAATTGCAACATATCACCTGCCCTGCCATCCTTAATGTGTTTTAATTTATTACTTATTTTATTCATTTTTTATTTTCCTTTTGTACATATTTTGATAATCTTACCACCAATTTCTGTATTACTTTAAACTTTAGGAATAGAATAGACCTTAATCTATCAGATACTCTGCCGATAGCTGGCTTTCTCCCCCCAAATAAGAACCAATGCCTACAGGGTGAAGAAGTTAGAAAGAGCAAACCTTCTGCCAACTCTCTTATTCATCAAATATGTAGCACTATGTTCAAAATCTCATATCCCAGGTCTTGCAGCTAAACTTTAATTCTTACACTTTAAAATGTTTAGATGTGTAGCCTGTGTTCAAAGAGTGGAGATATGGGTTGATTGGTTGCCTCAGTGTTTTTGGCAGTACTGTTTTTAAAATGAATTTTTGGTACTCTATAACTTTTCATTTCAAAGTTGAGTGGAATGCAATGATGTACCATGCACTGTAGCTGTAAATGTGGTGAGTGCTCCCCTGCAGTTAAATTGTCAGTAAGCATACTCTCTTTGAGCTCAACTTTGTGTGCCACTTGGCCAGAGTAATTCCAGCCAACATCCCTAACAAACTGTATACTATCCTCCCCACTTTTGAGCTTTCTTCTCAAAATGTCCTAATTCTCCTATTTTAATGATTCACTCTCATATTGTTTGTTGCTTTTGTTGTTTGTGCCTGTTGCACTTTTTTACCTGGTAGCAACTACTAAACATTGCTTTTACATTTCTCATCAGCACAAGTAATTTTTTCCACATTATCTGCTCTCCTTCTTTCTTGCGTATATCTGTAAACTACATGTTTACACTCCACACATCTGCACAGTCCTTTTCAAAGATAACTCTGTCTGTTTCTCTAGGAGAAAATGGTTTATAATAAAAGGAGGCCTGGACTGGTGGAGAACAAGCAAACATCCAGGACCTCGGTGCGACGAAACTCTTAGCTCCAACTACAATCTGGGCATGTAAGACAGAGAGATTTGGTGGCACGGACACATTTGAGAATATAACAGCGAAAGAACTAGGAGCAAGAGTAGGCAGTTTATCCTTTAACTCATCTCACTTTCTTCGCGTCAATGGTGTGGCTATGGGCACCCCGCATGTCTCCCAGTTATGCCTGTATCTTTGCAGGGTACATGGAATATTCCATGTTCCAGTCTTACTAGGGCCTCTCCCCAATGTACTTTCTTCAGTAAATTGATGATATCATTGGTGTTGATTCTCCCTCTTGTCTGGAATTGGAAGTTTTTAATCAATTTTCATTCCAATTTCCATCCTTACCTCACTTTCACCTGGTCCATCTCTAACTCCTCCCTTCCCTTCCTTGACATCTGTTTCCATTTTGTGGGATAGGCTGGCCACTGATACCCAGTACAAACCCACTGATTCCCACAGTTACATTGGCTATACGTCTGCACACCTTGCTACCTGTAAAAGGACTCCACTAAATTCTCCCAGTTTCTTTGCTTTCATCGCATCTGTTCTAATGATGACACTTTCTCCAGGGAAGTCTCAACATGTCCACCTATTTCTTAAACTGAAGATTCCCTGCTACCATGGTTGACAGGGCCCTCAGCTAAGTCCAATCCCTTTCCCATATTTCTGCCCTCACTCCATCCCTTTCTTTTCCTCCCACAACAACCATATGGTCCCCTTGTCCTCACTTTCCACCCCATCGTCTTCAACTTTCAAATGATCATAAGCTGCTAGTTCTACCACCTTCAGTGGAAAGCCACCACTAGACAATTTATTTCCCTCTCCTCCCTCGTCAGTATTCCACAGGGATTGTTCCCTCTAGGACACCCTTGTCCACTCCTAACACGTCCACACCCCTCCGGTACCTTCCCATTTAACCTCCTTCTCTTCACAATCCAAGGCCTCACACATCTCCCAGGTGAAGCAGTGATTTACTTGTATTTTATTCAATCTAGTGTACTGTATTCACTGTTCACAACATGGTCTTCTCTACCAATGGGAGATTAAATGAAAACTGGATAATCATTTTGTCAAACACCTCTGCTCTCTCTGTAAAAATGGCCTCGAAATTCCAGTTGCCTGCCAGTTCAACACGCCACCATGCTGCCATGCCGATATTTGTCTTGGGCCTGCTGCAACGCTCCAGAAAAGCTCAATGCAGGCTGGAGGAACAATACCTCATTTTTCATCTAGGCACCTTACAGCCCTCAGGACTAACAATTTCAGAGCCTGTTCGTTACCCAAACACCACAGCCCCATGTCCTGTTCCACATGGGTTGCTTCTAGTTGCCCTTTATCCCTCTCCCTTTTTTGACGTGCTTATATAAACCTGCAACCTGCAATTTTGCTTACACGTTCTAAAGAAATTTCCTGAAGCTTTGGTTTAATGTTTAAAATTCTTGTGTATCACTAAACGAAATCACGACATTCTTCCCATTACAGAGGTACTAATAAATTTAATGCCTGTGTTTTACATCAAAATGCTGAAATCATTTCAAATGAATATAACCATTAATTTGAACTTGTTTCTTCTTAGGATATATCCTGGATACCATACTCAACTTTTGCTGTGGTGCATAATTTAATAAAGACATTAGAACCATGAAAAGTGTATCATTTGGAAAATGTATTCAATAATACAGCATTAAGATCCATAAAATGACTGAAAGTACTATTATCCTAAAATAGAACAATTGTAATGACATTCTGGCCCCTAACTTTTTAAAATAATAAAACTACTGTCAAATACTTCAAGCTATTATTGTCCTTTTCTTACTGTGTAAAGGCTGTATCTTTTTATGTTTCTGTTTATGTTTCATTATGGTCTGAAGTGGGAAAAGGACTGTTTTAAAATCAAGTACTGCACAAGGAATTTTAAGAAGCATTTTAAGAAGCAAGTTACTGACACTGATTGTAAGTCATGTTTACACTGCTGCTTTGTTCAAACAGTGGTGGGTAGGGCTATTTGCCAGAAGTGTGAACAAAGTGAGATTCAGCTGGCAACAAGTAGCTGATTGGTTTGTGAAGCTGTGACCACTTGTGGATGACAAAGGCCATCAACCTGACAACTGTCTGTTTGGCTGTTAGGTAGCTGAAAAGCTTGTGGGTGTGTACAGCACTGGCAGAAGCCTCCAGATGGTGTTTCTTTCTCTTCAGTAAAATATCTAAAGCCTAAAGAAAGCCAGTTTATTTTCCTTCACCAGGTGCTGTAAGCATTGGCCTTTAAATCGGTAACTAAGACACTTTCAAATTAATGTACCAATCAACTGTGCCTCCTGCTAAGAGGTGAAAAGGATCTAGAGAAGAGAGATTTAACAGAAAGTCCTCACAAGCAACAAGTTAATCTTAGTGAACCCTGTGGACCAGGGCCATTGAATTGCTTTCCCAGTTTTTTTACCCTCCACGATTAACTTTTTGTCTGTGTCTATGTGTATTTGTTGAGTTTTAGAACAGAGGATTAGAGTTTTAACTGGTCGAGTTAGATGTCAACAGTTCATTGTAACCACAGGTAAACAACATCTATTTGCAATAAATAGTAGTCTTGTTAACAGATTTTCTGTTAGCCTGGGCCTATGTGACAGGTAAATTGGGGACCTTGCTTAATTTGATAAACCGTTTAATTTGTGACAACTCTAGAAATAGTCAGGTTTGATTTCCAGCGTGCAAAATCAGGTGTGACACCAGTCAATATGAAATACAGAACGTTATTGGAAAGTGATCTCTTCTGTTTCAGAGATCCAATATGAACGTTAGATAATTTCAAGCTACACATTTTAAATCTAATTCATATGAAATATTAAGTAAAGAAACTAATGAAATTAGGTTTATCTCATGCCCTGCATTTTAGCTCCATTGTTTAAAATGAGAAAACAGCATGTTAGATTTTGTTATTTCTCGGGTACTAACATTAATATGTTCACAAAGGGTGCTAAGATAAACACAGTGACTGAAGGCCAGTCAGTTTGATTTCAGTGGTGGGATTGTTTTGAGAAAAGATAATGCAGGAAAAAGAACTAAGAATCATTTGGACAAGTGTGGATTTAATTAAAGAATGCCAATACAGACTGATTAAAGGCAAATCACGTTTAACTGACTTGATTTGAGTATTTGGTGGCATAACAGGAGGTTAATGAAAGCAACGTGGTTGATATTGTGAACATAGTCTTACAATGGAAATTTTCTAAAATTTGATTGTCAGCTTGCCAGCAAAGCTGAAGCTTATTGACCAACAGAGAAAGTAGCAGCATGGATATGAAGTTGGTTGAGTCAGAGACAGGAACAGCGAGTAATGGTGAATAGATGTTTATTAAACCAGCTGACACAGTACTTGGAAACATTGCAAAGTGTGAGGAGGATTGTGATCAACTTCAAGAAAACATGGGCAGGCTGGCGGAATAGGCAAAGATGTGGCAGATGAAATGTAATGCAGAGAAATGTAAAGCGATGCATTTTGTTAGCAAGAATTTGAAAAGGCAAAACAAATAGTACAAATCAAATGTCTGTGCAGGACCAAAAAGATTTCAGGTTTACGTATACATATTTAGAGCAGGCTGGGAAAGTGGTTAAAAAAAATGGCATATGGGCTCCTGAGTATTATAAATAGAGAAATAGTGTACAAAAAGTAAGGAAATTATGATGAACCTTTGAGAAAAAAAGGTTGTGACAAATATTGGGCATCATACTTTAGGAAAGATATGGAAGCTATAGAGGGGTTGCAACAAGGGTTTACAAGAAATATTCTCGGGATGAGAGGCTTCAGTTACATGTAAAGTTTGGGGAAGCTTAGAATTTGACAATGGTGTTCAGCCTCAGAGTTGAGAGGGAGAAACTTTTGGCAGGACAGAGGACATGGATTTAAAGTGAATTGCAAAAGAAGCAACAGTAACATAAGGAAGGTTTTTTTTCTTAATTCAGTGACTACTGCAGATCAGGAATGTGGTGGAGGCAAGTTCAACCATGGTTTTCAAAAAAAGAGTTGGAAAAGAACCGAAGGAGAAATATTACTAGGTTATTGAAAAAGGATAGCAAGTAGGACTAATAGAGCATGACACAACAGGCCAAAGGGCCTCCTTTTGTGCTGTGAATTCTAAATGTTAAAATTCTAAACAAAATCATAGACATGAGAAGACAGGTCTGTTCTGCAGTTCAGTTAAACCATGGCTGACTTCCACCTCAGCATCATTAACCTAGCTTTGCAACATATTCTTTGATATTCTTACTTAACAAAACATTGATTTCAGTATTGAAAATGTCTGGGTTTACATGATCCTTTGTTTGAAAGTGAAATCTGAACTCTGAAGTAAACTGTGAAATCATCTAGCATAATAATTATAATTACCTCTCGTTGTTCTCCGTTTTCCCAAAGAAAATCATGTTTTGTTTAATCCACTCTATCAAATCCCCTTGTCTTTGTAAACACTGATTAGATGCTCTTTCCACATGCTAAATTTCAAGGGAGTAAAAGTAATGGAGCATTTCCTGATAACTTAAAAAGTTTTATATTCTCGTAAACCTGCAAAGATGAGCTCCAAGGCCTCTATGTCCCTACCTCAAATAAAAACAGTGTGTTGAAAATACTCAGCATGTCTGGCAACGTTTGTATACGAATCATCATACTGGACTGAAAACGTTAACTCTCTCCGCTGATTTGCTGAGCATTTCCAGCCGACTGCTTTTAATTCAGATTTCCACCATGCACAGTTTTTTGCTACATGTGCTTCTCAATGCTTAGTGCTCAACACTGAATGCTCTTGAGACCCACCAAGGTTCTGTGCAACTGAAACATAATTTCTTCCCCTCCTGTATTTTCAGTCCATTTGAAGTGAATGCCATTTTAATCTTTTTCTATGTGCTTAATGCCCGGACAGAAAAAAAAGGAACGCTTTGCACCTCCAGTCTCTTGTTTCATATCATTAAGAAAATATTCTGACTTTTCTTGAGAACGACAATAGCGAACGAATTCTTGTCTTTAAGAATTTAACTTTGTTTTCTCAATATTCAGTAAAACACTGTCTCACCTTTAGCTCTGAGTAACTTGCTCAACGTGAAATGAACCAACACCTTTTGGTTATAATAAGATTTCTCTCTAACAGTCTCGTCATTCAACAAGTCAATCATATTTGTCATCTCGAATAAGATTGTTGTGGTTCTCCAAGTTGACGGAAATGAGGAGAAATGTCCGCCGATTCTGCATTAGTTTGTTTACTCCGGTTTCCAGGAGATTTTGGATTTCAATAGTCCCCGCGCACCGCACCACCAACCGCCCCCCGCCCCAACTCCGACAAAATGAAACCACTCGGTTCCAAATTTGAAACTTCAAGTTGAAGGAATGCATAATAACTGAAATGTTGTTTTAATTTTTAAAGATTAGTATTTCGATTGCTTCTCCTGAACTCTAGAAACACTGATTGGACTCATTTGATCCTAAACTATTAATTGCTAGCTTTACATACGACCTTGTGCCAAAACAAATAGAATGCGAAGCAACTTTTGTAGGATTTCAAAAAGGATTTCGGTCACAGAATACCCTCTACATTTCGCTAATAAATCCAATAACCACGTCATTTCAGGTGGATTTAAAATATTCTGTGAAAGGAAATTATTGTTTCAGTTACTTAAGTTCTCCGTTCTAAGAAATCTGAAAACAATCCCAAAGAGAACACTTTCAGTTTCGCCTTTCTGTCCGGTTCAAGTACATAATTCAAGGTTCAGTTCGATGCCGTTTGCTGTTTACAATGTCCAATTATTCTACAGAGAATTAAAACTTAATCTGTACAACAATGCAACTGTAATTATTTAAAATGGGTATTGATAATATTAATAGTGGTGACTGTATCGTATATTTTGTCTGGATAAACAGAGAAATCCGCAATATATTTCAATTTCTGCCTCTTCAGAGAAAGCTATAGGCAACAATACAGATTGGGGACAGAGGAGGCGAGAGAAATGTGGAATAGCAAATATAAATAGACAGAGCTATGGACAAAAGGGCACAACAAGCAGAAGTATTATGTCAATACATGGAGTTGAAGGAATTTGGTTTTCAGGACCATGATTAGATGGCTCCACTTGAAATTGACATCCATCTAAATATAAGAAGCATTTAGCTGGTATATAGACTTTGTGTTAAATACTGGTCCCAAATTCAGTGAAAAAAGAAAAGCAAGTTCACAGCACACACAATTATGGATGCATAAAAATATTGTGGTAAGAAAGACAATACAAGTTGAGAATCACCACCAAAATTTGGGTTGTTTTCACTGCTTGTTGTTAACTTTATAAAATGGGATCTCATTGCCAATCTCCCACTTAGGCTTAAGACATTGCCTCTGAACTTTAATAAGGTCAGTTGAGGTTGTCTGTTGTACTTTTGATGGGTGAACAAACTGATTCTGGAAAGGCAAAGTCTGCCACAAGTGCCACAGATGAAATTGTTATGTAGATGATCTCTGTTTTGTTTAAGGGCAGACATCACCCAGGAGCAGCTGAAACCATGTTGTAATGGCAGCAAATTCCTGCCCACATTGGGTGTCACCTTTGCATTGATCATCTGCTAGAGTTTTATACTTACTGTATTTGAATCTGAGGGCTTTCACATTTTATGTTTCATGA